CATCATCATCACCATCATCATCATCACCATCATCACCATCATCATCATCACCATCACCATCACCATCACCATCATCAACATCAACATCAACATCATCATCATCATCATCATCATCATCATCATCATCATCATCATCATCATCATCATCGGGACACCGACGGGACACGGGCGGGACACCGGCGGGACACCGCGGGCCCCCAGACGCCCGGACGGCAATCATTTGGTCCGGCCGCGCCTCAGCCCTTCGGGACCCCAGCGGGACACCGGGCAGAACACCGCGGGCCCCCAGACGCCCAGACGGCAATCATGTGGTCCGGCCGCGCCTCAGCCACAGGAGACTTTCTCTCGCCCGCCCACGCAGCTTCGCCTCGCCCGCACGCACGGGCACGCACGAACACGAAACCGAAATCGATTTCCCGGTAGGGGGGCTCTCCGTTCCACTTCGATCTCACCCCCCAACTTCCGACATATATATATATATATATATACACACACACGTGGCCCCAACAACAGTATATTTGGAGAGTCTCAAGAGGAAGTATGCACAAGCGCGCGCAATGACCGCGTTACCTCATAGCCCCAAAGTGGTGTCACTCGGGCCCCATTCCACCGACTATGACTTCCAAACGAAACTGAGATGACCCCATGGCCCAACATGATCCCGACAAGGCATCTTGAGAATCTCTGGCTGCCTATGCGATGATCCGTCCGATGAGCAGTGGGCGATACCGAGACGGCCCCAAGACCAGAAATGAACCCAGTCACATCAAGGGCGACTCCAAACTGACCGAGAGACGCCCGCACAATCCAAACATGACGCGAGTGCGATCTGAAAACGACCTGACGACAACTCCCAGATGCACCCACTATCGTTCGCAAGTCGATGCAGCGGGCGGTCCCGCGGCCTGCGTATCATGCGAAGTTGATCTCAAGATGACCCAACATGGCTTCAAGAGGCACTGATGAGATTTCCGCGGCGACAAGATGGCGCGCGCATCGCCTGAAGATGGCATCAATACGGCCCCACCACAGGAGTCCGTGAACTTATGAACCACAGCTTGCGTCTAGCCCACCCCAACACGGCGGGATCCCTCAAGGGTCTGGGATTTTGGTTTGCCCTATTTTCAATTGGTGAGGTCTTGACCTGGTTGAATCAGACTTGCACTATTAAGAAGGACTGAGCTCGGCGGGATCCCGCCCGACCCAGGAAGGAAGACTACATTGCTAGGCTTCGTGGTGGCAGTGGGTTCGGAAGGCGAACTGTTACTACCGCCGGCTTCCGCCGCCCTCGCAATACTTCTGCCGTCTGCCGCGCGGCGAACGCATTTATAAAACTCAAGACACTTACATTGGGCCGATGTATATACATGTGTATGTATAAGCAGCAATGCAGCATTGGCGCTTCGTGCCATGCACCTGGTTCCATGGAGGAACTAGGGGGCGTCTAACGCGTTCGTATAGAACTCGAACGATTGCCATGGCACGCCGATGAATTCGCAGTAGCTCCGAACAAACTCGATCGGCGGGCCCTTGATGGGTGGGCGTTTCCTGGAGCCTCTGGGGGCTTCCAGGGAGTAATTACAATCCTGCCAGCCACAAGACCGTCTTGGGGCGTTCTGGGGCTTTCTTGAGGCCGTCTTGGAGCCGTGTAGGCGCGTGTTGGGCGCCCCTGTCGGCTCTCCGGACACCCGTCTGGGTGAGTTGGAGACGATTGGGACTCCAAGACCCTATCGTGGGACGATTCGGAGCGTCTGCGGCCCATCTCGACGGCAATATGCGCGCTGCGGGGGCCGATCAGGGGACCTCAACATTGCGGACCAGGGGTGGACCAGAGGCGTTTGCCTCACCCGCGCGGGCTTCCCGGCTCTGCGTCCCGTCAGCCATGCTTCTGGGCGGTTCGCCTCGTGGTGTGTGCCAGGAAGGCCCCTCTGCCACCCCTCCCGGCGCGCTGGTGCATCCGCGCCGGCAGCTTCCAGGCAGGGTGCTGCCTGGGCCTCGCGCTGTGCCTCTGACTTGCGTCGGCCCCCCTCTCCTGCCCCGCTGCCTAACTACAGCGGGGCACCAGCCTTCCCCCCGCCCGCCCCGGGGCGGGGCGCCCCCCACCCTCAGCTGTGATGCGAGCGCCGGCTGGGCGCGGGCTCCGCCCCCTCCCTCCCTGCGCCGCTGCCGCCTGGCCCGCGCGGCGCTCCGGCCGCGCCAGCCCGCCACTCCGCGCCAGCACCGAGGAGCCACAACTTGCAGCCCTGGTGCCCGCCGTCGGTGCTGGTGCGGATACCCGCCCTCCGCCCTGGTCTCCGGTCGGCGCCGCGGCTTTGCCGATCGGGTGCGCCTCGCGCCCCCGTCCTCTGCTGTGCCCCTTGTGCTTGGCGCGCCGTTGCCTGGATCAGCTCCCCTGCAGAGAGTGGCCGCCCCAGCCTTTCGCCCCACTCTGCTGCACTTTGCCGTTTTCGTGGTCGCCCTCCAGTTCTTGGCACTGGCCGCTCGCCACCGCCTGGCGCAACCTCCTGCAAGGCCGGCAGCGCGCTGGACTACACTCATCCTCCCGTCGTGGACGAAACTGAGCAGGCGACCCCGCGAAAACATATCAAAAACCAATGGACAATCATTGGTTTTTGCCATGGGGGCTGTCTCGGAGAGCAGTTTGGAGCCCTCTTGGGCAGTCTTGAATGCCTCGTGGGCAGCATCGAGCAATGGTGGGCGTACTGGGGCTCTTGGGGCCCAGTGGGTCTCCTTTCAAGCCCTTGTGGTGTGTCCAAGCTCATTTGGAAGGACTCCGTGAGCCCTCTTGGCCGATCTTGGGCGCCTATTGGGTCGTTCTGGCGCCCTCTTGGTGCGTGTTGGTCCTTCCTGAACGCCTTTTGTGCCGTTTCCGGGCGTCGGGCAGCGGAGCAGGCGACCATACGAGCATCCTTCAAGATAAAAACAGAAATTCATGAGTTTCGCCCGTGGGCCTCCCTCGGAGAGCACTTTGAAGCTTTCTTGGGGCGTCTTGGAGGCCACGTGGACCGTCTCGAAACATTGGTCGGTGTCTTGGGGAGCGTTTTTGTGCCCTCTGGGCTTCTTTGAGGGCATTATTTGGTGCCCACTGGGCCCCATTTGGGGCCCAGTTGGCGGGTCGAAGCTCGTTTGGTCCCCCATGCCACACTGGAGCAGCGGTCTGTGACCCCCTGGGGCCGACTCATATATATATATATATATATATATATATGTATATATGTGTGTATAGATATACATCTCTGTCGGTATGTTTGTCTGTCTGCCTCTGTATGTATGTATTCATGCATGCATGCATGCATACTTGTGTGCCGTGTGTATGTATGCATGCAAGAAAAGAGTCATGCACGTATGTATGCGTGTATGTATGCATGTATGCATGTATGCATGCATGCATGCATGCATGGATGTATGTATGTATGTATGTATGTATGCATGTATGTATGTATGTATGTATGTATGTATATATGTATGTATATATGCATGTATGTCTATATGTATGCATGTATGTATGTATGTATGTAGGTAGGTAGGTAGGTAGGTAGGTATGTAGGTAGGTAGGTAGGTAGGTAGGTATGCATGCGTATATGCGTGAACGCGTGTATGCATGTATGCATGTATGCATGTATGTATGTAAGCATGCATGTATGTAGGTATGTATATATGCATGTATGCATGCATGTATGTGTGTATGTATGTATGTGTCTATGTGCATGCGTGCCGGCATGTATGTATGCTTGTATGAATGCGTGCGTGTATGAATGTATGACTGTATGCACGCATGTATGTATGCGTGCGTGCATGTATGTATGCAGGTATGTCTAAATGATGGAATGACTGTTGGTATGTATGTCCGTATGCATGTCTGTTTGTATGCATGAATGCATGATTGTATGAATATAGGCAGGTATGAATGTATGCACGCATGGGTGTATGACTGTATGCATGCATGCATGCATGCATGCATGCATGCATGATGTGCGTATGTATGTATGTATGTATGTAGGTAGGTATGTATGTATGTATGTATGTCTGTATGTATGTATGTATGCATGCATGCATGCATGTATGTATGTATGTATGTATGTATGTATGTATGCATGTATATAGGTATGTAGGTATGTATGTATGTAGGTATGTATTCATGACTGTATTTATGCCTCTCTCTATACTATATATATGTATATATTCCTACCACGGTGCCAGGGCTATGTGTCAGAGGCCTCTGAGGTGTTCGTTGGTACCTTGTTGGAAGCCTCTTGGGGGCCCCTTTGGGGCTTCTTGGAGCCTCTTTCGAGCCTAGTGGGGGCGTCTTGGAGCCTCTCTGAGGCCTCTTGGGGGCCTCGTGGCGCCTTTTCGGGGCCTCGTCGTGCCTCTTGAGGGCCTGTAGGGGCGGAAGGCTGGAATTGTGGGTGGGTGCTCCCGCTCTTGGGCTCCTCTTGGGGCTGCTCTGGGCCCCCTATTGGGCCATCTTGGGGGGCCTCTTGGGGCTGTCCTCGGGCACTTTCGAATCATCTTGGGGCTCCCAAAGAGGCCTCTGACGCCGTCTTCGCGGTTTCTTGGGGGCATCTTGGGCTTCTCGGGGCGGTCTGGGGCGCCTCTTGAGCGGTCGTGGAGCGTTGGAAGCCCGAAAAGACGCATCAATAATTCAAACGCCTAGAAAAATAATAGATCTGGGCGAGCCTTCTTGGGGGCCTCTTGGGCCGTTTGGAATTTTGTCTTGGGCCGTCGGAAACCCCTGGAGGCCGTCTTCGGCGTAGCTCGGGGCAGTCTTGGGCCGTCGGGACGGCTGTCTGTTCGCTCTGGGGGCTGTTTGGCGACCCCCCAACAACGGGCCTGGCCCTGAAGCGTCCCGACAAGAGTCGGGACCCCGCCGGGACTAAAAAAATTTCCCGGGGGGGGGGGTGCATTTTGTGAAAAGTGGGCCAGCCCAGGGTCCAGGGGCCCAATTCCCCGTCATATGATATAGGTATGTGTGTGTGTGTATGTATACATATGCCGGAGGCCACTAGATAAGAAGAGCAGCAGGCAGGACCAACCCAGCGAAGAGGCACTGCCGCGGACGGCGGTGGTCATCAGGTACAGCGAGTCGAAGCCCTCGATCTTCTTCGCCAGCTTGAGCAGGCGGAAGAGACGCACCAGTCGCCCCATGCGCAGCAGCGTCGGGTCGAGGGGCACGTAGCTCTCGCCAAGGACCTCCACGTACCAGCAGACCGTCACCGAGAGGTCCAAGAAGTTCCAGCTGTCGTGGCAGAAGTCCGAGCGGAGGGCGATCCCCTTCAGCACCACCTCGACGGTGAACAGGACCCCGCACATGTAGTCCAGGACCTCGAAGAGGGTGCCCCCGCCTGGCCAGGTCTCCTCGCTAGACGTGCGGTACCAGCGGTAGCCGAGGTTGGAACCAATTTGGAAACTGTGGTACTGGACCTCGAGCGCCGCGGCCGTTGTGGTGAGGGCGATGATCGTGGCCGAAAACACCTCGAACGCATTGCTCTTCACGATCCGGCGGAGCTGCTGCTGCCTCCTCGAGCCATTGCCGCTCCGCTCGGACTTGGTGGACTTGAACAGCCTGTTGGCAGCGCGAGCCATGCTGGGAGCCGAGCTGGATGCGTTGCCCCTCTCCTTCCGAGGGCCCTCCATGCTCTTGGCGGTCTCGGACGTGCCTGCCGCGTCGCCGCCGTCGCTGCTGTGGCCGTGGTCGGAGAGCTCCTCCTCCACGCGACCGAAAGCGGTGCACCCGGATCTCCGACGGTACGGTTAAGTCGGGCGTGTCCCCCTACAGGGGGATTTTCGACGAAAGATATGAAATATCCCAACAATGATCAAACAATAATCCAAAAATAGTCTGGGGACTATCTTTAAATTATTGTTTGACCTTTTGGGGGTCTTTTTGGGGTATTCTTTTATTTTTCGTCGAAAACCCTCCTGTAGGGGGACACGCCCGACTTAACGGTACGGTCTGCTTCCATCCAGGCGTTTTTCCTCCGGCTCGGCCTCTGTTGGGCCCGTGATCGGGCACCGGGGCAAACAAAACCGATCCCAGCCGCGGGCATCACGGATCATAGCGGGAGGATGCCTGGGAACGACTTGCACATGAACGTCGAGTTTTGAGATTCTGGGCGGACTTCTTGGGTCGGCGCTGAGCCCCTCCCTCGCATCCCGTCGGAGGCATCGCCAAGGGGGTGCGGGTAGGGGGTGGGTCCAACGCCGACACGAGAAACCGACGCGGACTTCCGCAAGTCTATTCTCATGCAAAGGAGGCGGGTTCGTGCGGCGTCGGCGCGCGAAGGGTTCTGACATCGCGTCGATCGTCCAGCATTGAATCGATGGCGGACCCGATCGTCCGAAATTGAATTCCGTCGTGCCCAGCGGCGATACCGTGTCCCTCGGTGGGTCCGCGTCGCAGAATTCCCTCTTGAACGCCTTCGCCTGCGTCGCTGGTGTGCCACCGCCGCATGAACCTACTGTATGCTTATGCAAGTAAGTTGTTCTCAATTCTCGATCCTCCTTCTCGCTCTGCTCCCAGCCGGACCGCCTCCGACCAGCCGCACCCCGGGGAGCTGTGCTCCTTCCCCCTCTGGGGGGAACCCAATGTACTGACAGGATCCCGAGACCCATAAATCCACTGCATCGGGACTGAAAAAACGTCTCCGCGCCGTTCGTTCTCGCTGCGCCCGAGCGGACGACGCCGACACCACGGCAAACCCACGGCAAGCCCTGCGCCCCGCACCCAAGCAGACGACGCTGGCACCGCTGCGAGCCCACGGCGAACGCACCGCGTCCAAGGCGCCGTGTGCCCCGGAGGCCGCGGCGCCCCCCCCCACGGCGTGAGGCCGCGCATCGGAGCAAGCGGCGCGGCGACGGGTCCATCTGCACGAAGACTGAAGGATTGCAAAAAAATCCAGGATTGAAAACATATCCAGGATTGCAAAAAAACTCTGGATTGCAAAAAAAACATGATTTTTTTGCAATCCCAGGGTTTTTTTTTGCAATCCTTCGTTCGAGTGGCCGCCGGCAGACCCCTCCCCCGGACCTGCTCGAAGTCTAGGCTATGCGCGGCCCCAAGGCTCGGGCGTTCACTAAGGGGGGGCGATAGATGGAGGGGTGAGAAGGGTGCACCTCTCGTGCGCCTTTCGTACCCCTTCGGGGCCCGAGGGGGCTCGTTTAGGGCCCCTTTCGCGCAACCCTCGACGCCCCCCCATTTATCGCCCCCCCCATAAGCGAACGCCCGAAAGAAAGGTCCCGAACTCTTCTCTGGGGGTAGTTTGCCGCCGCGGACCCATCTCCAATGGCCCTGGGGCCCGCAAACGGCCTCCCGAGGCCGAGATCGACATACACTTTCGCCCCAGATGTGTTTCTGATGGCCCCGGGGCCCGAAAACGACCCCTGGGGGCCGAGGCCGAGGAAAACCTCGCCAGGATGTGAAGCAATAGTGTCCTCGGAGATCCGTCGGAGGAATCGAAAACATCATACGCATAATGTTCTGGAGGTCCGCGCTGATCTCTT